CACTGAATGAACCATACCATTTGAAAGAGACAAAATCTGATTAACTAAAGGCGAGTAGAAAGCAGGAGCCAAAGCCGGTGATTGAATCCATTCCACTACCGACTTGCAATCACACTCAAACAATCAATCTCCCAACAGATACCCAAAGTGATGCCAGAAAAATTTCAATGCCTCTTTGAATAGCCTTTAATTCAGCTAGAGGAGTACCGTGGCGAACCTTCTCTGAAAGAGTCAAAAGTGTGCGACACTCCCAATCTCTCAAAATACCTCCAATACCTCCACCCGAGCCATCAAGTATAGCAGCTCCATCAACATTCATCATAAGAAAATCAACAGGGGATGGAATCCAACGCAAGATATGACAAACTTTGGCTTTGGATAAAGAAAACCCATCTGCTAGGGATGGATTACCAATCAGCAAATCCTCTTGAATATGAACCGTAGGAAACTTGGCTAAAAACCATTTTGAAAGTCTGAATCTAACTGTAAAGAACAAAGACATGCTGTCAAGATTAGATCCTTCAAACACCATAGCATTCCTAGCTTTCCAGATTGACTAGAAGATAACACCCGGAATAAACTTCCATATCGTCGAATTACCCCTCAACTCACCCCAGGAACTAAGCAAAGCAGGAGGGTCTTGAGGAAGAACAAGCGAAATATCCCAGAAACTAGCTATATTATTCCACAATTTCCACACAACAAAACAAGAAATAAATAAATGTTGAACTGTTTCCTCATGATTCTTGCAAAAAGGACACTGAATATCTTCCCTTAACGAAACACCTCTCTTAACCAACTCAACCTTAACTGCCAATTTCTTATGTGCGAGTTGCCAAAGGAAAGCTTCCACTCTAGGTGGAGCAAAACCCATCCAGACTCCTTTTAGCCACAAATCATTACTCCCATCCACAGAACCAAGAGATTTTCTGCAGGATTTTACCGAAAACAAGCCATCTCCACTAGCAGACCAAGAAAGGGAGTCTTCCACCAGCTCTGACAGTTTGAAATCCTTAAGCTTTGTCATCAAAGCCAACCACTGGTCCAATTCCCAATCACTCAGATTCCTTCTAGTTTGAACATTCCACTCCCAACCACTAGATCCATAGCTGCCAAACTCAACAACCTCCCCCCCTTTATTAATGGAAAGCACATAGATTCTAGGGAAAATTATTTTTAGAGGAACCTCATCTGCCCATACATCGTTCCAAAAAGAAATTGATTTCCCATTACCTATTTGCAGCTTCGAATTCGATCTAAGAAAGTCCCCTACCGAATCATTCTTAGAAAAATTATTGCAATGCCTCTCAAGATCCATGAAGATTGCGGAGAAGTAACCTTTCCAATAGACATAGTGTTCCAACAGACCTTTTGCTTGCTACACACACAGATTTCCAAAGAGAATTTTTATCATTGGCAAATTTCCACACCCACTTGCCTAGTAAAGCCCGGTTAGTAAGATTCAAATCAAGGACACCTAGTCCACCACAGTTCAAAGGCCTGCAGACCGTATTCCAATTTACCCAGTGAATCCTCCGCTTATCCCCCTTATCACCCCAAAGAAAGTTAGCCATTAAAGAATTAAGCTTATTTCCAATATTGCACGTCATTTTAAAAAGGATAGAAAGATAGGCAAAGAGGTTAGCACCGACTTCAAAAACTGTCCTACCGGCCAAAGGCAGACAGGACGCTTTCCACCCTGCAAGTTTGGAACTGAAATTCTTAAATACCGGATCCCATAGAGCCTCTGTGTTTTTCTTAGCACCCAAGGGAAGTCCCAAGTATTCTGTTGGAAAATAACCGACTAAACAGCCCACTTGTTCTGCCCAATCCGATAAAACTCTATCTTCCAAATTGATTCCAAACAACTTACTCTTTGCTAGATTGAGGTGTAAACCTGTCATAATGCTAAAAATCCTCAGCACCCTTTTTACATTCTTGATCTGATTAATAGAGCTTGGCAAAAAATTATTAAATCATCGGCGAATTGTAGATGGGACAACCTAGTAGAATTTTCCGAATTCCCCATAATGAACCATGGAATAAACCCCTCTCAATTGCTTTAGAGAGCATCAAGTGTAGCATCTCGCCTATAATGTTAAACAAAAGTGGAGAAAGACTGCAGTCTTGTCTTAGACCTTTGTTCATTGAAAATTCCTCAGAAGGGGACCCATTAACAAGTATCGAAATAGAAGCTGTAGACAAACATTGAGTAATCCACGAGGACCATCTATTTCCAAATCCCATCTCTTTCATTGCTCTAAATAAAATAGGCCATTCCACAGTGTCGTAAGCTCTACGGAAGTCAACTTTAAAAACTACCCCTTGCAACCCTTGTGTACTCCAGTAATCAATACCTTCGTTCGTAATGAAGGCGCAATCCAATAACTGTCTCCCCGGGATAAAAGCAAATTGGGATTGGCTGATGATATCCCCAACACAGCCACTCAACCTCTTAGATAATACTTTTGAGAGGATCTTGTATAAGCTACCTGCAAGGCTGATAGGTCTGAAATCCTCCACACTTTCCAGATTAATCTTCTTCGGAATGAGTGTAATAAACACATGATTAACTCCGCGTTCCCATTTTCTACCCAAATAAAAATCCTGGAAACATTTCAATACATGCTCCTTTAAAACCGACCAACATTTCTTGAAAAAACCCATGGTGAAGCCATCCGGGCCTGGTGCTTTAGAACTATCCGAAGAAGCTATCGCTTGCCATAATTCTTGTTCTGAGAACTGCTCCTCAAGTTTTGAAGATTGGAACCCTGATAGCTTAGCAAAATCCAGGGATAAATCCTCTACACCCAGTGTTAACTTAGAGCTATAGGATTCCTTAAAATAGGCCGCAATATGCAACTTAATAGATTGCGGATCTGCGACTACAGAACCATTGATCTTCAAACTAGTAATTTCATTTCTTCTACTCCTGTTTAGAGCAGTTAAATGAAAAAATCTAGTGTTTCTATCCCCATCTTTAATCCATCTCGCCCTTGATTTCTGGAACCAAATGCTTTCTTCAATCCTATAAAACTTCCAGAGAGTCGATCTGAACTGCAGTAATTGCCCCCAGTCCTGTTGGGAGAGATCCTCAGTTTGAGCCTTAAATTCAAGATCATTAATCTTCAATTCCAAACCTGCAATAGACTCAGAGATTCCATTGAACCTTATGCCTGACCAACTTCTGATCGATTTTTTAGCTCCTTGTAGAATGCTAAATATGCCCCTACTCTTTCTGCTCCCCCTCGAAACATCCAAGGATGATTTAACCATATCCTCGAAACCTTCTTCCTTTAGAAGATAATTAAAAAATCTGAATGGTTTGGGACCCCAGTCAACAGATTTTTCCTCCAAAGAAACGGGATTATGATCAGATAAAGACCTCGGTAACATGCTTTGCACAACATTAGGAAAAACTGATCAGAAAATTCCCAGAAATTAAGAACCTATCCAATTTGACCCAAGTAGAGACTTCTCTATTATTACACCAAGTATACCTTCCCCCAACCATAGGAAGATCGATTAAGTTAGTTTGATTCAGGAAATTTCTAAGAATATCTATAGAAAACCAGTTCTGGGACATTCCTATCTTCTCTGCCGGATCTAGATACACATTAAAATCTCCCCCAATGCAAACTGATACGGTTTGAGCAGCGACAAAATTCAGCAACTCCCTGAAAAAATCCTCCTTTTCAGAATCAATACTTGGACCATAGACATTAATAATCACACATTTATCACAGGAATTCTTAAATTTTCCAAATATAGCTATGAATCTGCTACTTAAATGACTATTTGTAACTTCAAATTCCTTGTCATTCCACAACACCATTAATCCTCCTGCAGACCCCACTGCTGGAACGACAATCCAACCATTAAGAATACTTCCACCTATCCTTCTCCTAATAGCCTGAGAACATTTTTAAAGCTTTGTTTCTTGAATGAGAAGAATGCCTGGTTTATAATTCCTGACCATATTAGCTACGGCTCTTGATTTTTCCTTTTTACGAATACCCCTAATGTTCCAAGAAATAATCTTAATCTGTACCATGGATATATATATATGAAACCGAAACCTCAAAGCAAAGCAGCCAAAAGATCCTTACTCCCCCGGATCCACCCCTTCCCTACATTCAGCCAAACCCTTTTCCAGATTAATTATTTTATCCAAAAAGGCCTTCTTCCCCTCTTTGAATGAGATCCCTATCAATTTACTGACTTCCCATGTAGCCAACACCTCTTCTAAAAATAGGGAGAAATTTGAAGAATACACAATAGGGATACTAGCCACATCCAGTGCTTCCCTAATCAAAATCCTTTTCTCTCTTCTAATACCATTCCTTGCTTTTGATCCAGGCTGAACACCTTTTACACCATAACCAGCGCCCCGAGGATGCTGTGACCGGTCTACTTCCGAATTCTGACTAGAACCACCTTCTTCCTGGATCCCATTTGGACTTCTCTCCGAGATATTAGTAATAGGTAAATTGCTCGGGATAGCAATAATTCTAGACCTGTTGTGATCAGACGACTCCGGTGGTTGCAAAGACCCATTTTCTCTGCTTGGATTAAACCACACCTTTCTTTCTCTAGATCTTCTATACACTCTAGATATAGACCCTCTATTCCATCTTCCCAAATGCAGACTTCTATACAGGTGATTGAAAGGACTCCAGCTATTAAAGCCAATAGCATGAGTCTCCTTAGAACATCCTCTCCCCTGGTTTCTGCCCATGTGAAGCGACTTTTCTACCCTAACCTCCTCTATAACTTCTTCACTACTAGCTTCTTTGTTCAGGAGTTTTAAAATATACTTGCACCTTCAGATAAAAAATATTGCATATGCTATTTTATAGTTGTTTTGTTTTAACTATCAAACATTTCAAGAGAAAAAGATCCATTCCAATGATGCATCCTTTCACAAGAAATAATAATAACAAATAAACAGCATCTTCAACAATATAATAGCATATAAGGCACCATAAAATATAATCAACCTGTTTCTGTAAATTCGAAATTTCTGGACCTCCTGGCAGCTACCAAATTTTGCACCTTGAACAAAACAAAAGCCGTCAACACTGAAAGAAAAGCAACATTAAGCTGACTTGAAACTCAAACCATTTATTGTGACAATTACAACAATTAGAAAAAATGATGATAAGCTCAGCATAAATAATAATTCCAGGACAAAAGGATGGCATAAAAGAAGACTAATACCAAAGTATAATTTTATTGGATGTTGAAATGACACATCACGGACATGTCCAAATTCATCATGAGGGCACCATGAAGAGCACTTAAATTCTGTAAAAATAACCATTTATTAAGCATAAAGGCACATGTGCAATAAGTGATCACTTTTATGATATGATATAATAAAAAATTAACCGTGATTCCACAAACATAAAATAAAATGCATATTGGGAAACTATAAAATTCTTGAAAGTTCAAAGCAGAATACCTTTATCTGCACACCTTCTATGAAAAGATTCAATGAAATTAACAGCATTATCTGAAAAGAACAAATTGAAGAACTCCTCTACCTTAATCTGCAGCCAAAGAAACATTACTTACTTCAAGCTAAAAAAGAACATACCAATGTTACAAATATTTTTGCAATATGGTAGAACTTTAGGAAACTGAGTTCACAATTTATTACCGGGAACTTGATTTCAGCAACCTTGGTAAAACATTCAGCAACTGCATAGCAAAAAAAAGGCATAGATTACAATGACATTTACAAAAACAAAAGTGTAGTATCATATATAAAAATGAGACTAACTAGATGCAATATATCATCCTTCAGCACATTGGAAGAAAGCAGAGAATTTATGGCCTCATGTCTGTATCTGAATAAGAATGACAGTTTATTTCCTCCAACACTTGAAAATTTCTGACCAAAACCCACAGATACCCTCATTTGCCAACAGAAAGCCTTCATGGTACAAAACTAAACACATCTACCTTCTATTTCCACATATACCCTCGTTTACCAACAGAAAGATGATGATTCTGCCCATTTCTACAAGAAATGATGAGCTTCCATAATCTATCCATTAGGTTTACTTCTACACCTTCAGAACCAATTAAGTCATGACTTCCCTTAGCCTACTAATAGGTTGGTTTGAAACCACCTTCAGATTTAAGGTTATATTCAGTATTTAGGAGCTTATTTAGGTCATATAAAATAATTAAAATTAAGTTGGAATCAATGTTGTAAGAACCAGACTAGAACCAATCAGACCACCGGTTTCTTATTCAATAATTAAATAAAATATAAAAATCAATTAAAAGTAAAGAAAAAATCATAACTGGTTGAACAGTCAGTTTTTTGGTCCCGGTTTTCATTTTTTACCAGTTCAAAATGGTTTGCTCTGTTTCCAGTTTTATATCACCGCTCAGACCACCAGTTTTTTATTCAACCGGCTGATCTGGTCCTATTCTAACAACAATGATTGTAATCTTCTAAGGAGCTTTTGGAATTGTAGATACTTCAGGTTATTATGGATTTGGCAATTTCTCCCAAATTGTTCTCTCACAAGTTCACTTTCTTTCTTCCTCTATTGCTCTCCTTGACTCCCTGGTTCTTTGTTTTTTCTTATTTCATCCTATTGCCCACGCTATGTATCTATGATCACTTTCTCCTATTTCTCTCTTTCTTGTCCCATCCATGGTACATCGAAGTCCTATATCAAGATCATTCAAGTCACTCGTCTAGAGTAGAGCCAGAAGTGAAATCCGATCAAATTGGTGTAGGGTGCACACATAACATTAGATACATAATTAAGGAAGTGGCTGTGAAGTAAAGCATGAAAGTAGACAACCACAACTCGAAAGGATGAACTCAAAATGATATAATATGTAGAACATGAGAAAGTTACAACTCAGAATTGCAGTAACTAACCCTTCGGTGCGTCACAATCCTCTGGCTTCCATGAATTATCTCCAGACGCTGAAACCCCATCATTTATAACTGATTCAGGACTTACTTCTGCATTAGTTTCAGACGTGGATGGAACCTTAGAGCCACTAGATGTGGGAATGTCCTCATTCCTGTATGGAAAAATGAGCATTTATAAAAAATTCACAGGTTTGCTTCCATAAAATAAAATCCTCCAAGGAATTCACAAGAAGGATCCCAAACCATTCTGCTACAAAGCCATTCTCTTGGGCGCTGGACTCGGACATGGATTCCTAAAAATAAATGGAACTAGAAAATTACCAGTGGGAATAAATACGCAATCTATTACTAACCTATGAAACTCAAAGTATTCACAACATCAGTGTTTTAAAAGGCGCGAGGCGCTCCAAGGCGATTACCTACCCGAGAGCCTCAATTTTTGGGGCGCTTTGAGGCGAGGGATTTAAGTACGCGAGGCGCTTAATTTTACCAAACATTTGTAAATATTTTATAACCATACCTCAAACACAAAACAACTTAATAATTAACTTAATAAGCAAAAACACCAAGTAGCATATGTCATATTGTATCTCAAAAAGACAAATAAAAAATATCATCAATAATCAAAATGCCTAAAATGTCATATTGTATCACATCGTTGGTGTGATGATTCCGCTATTGGCTGCTACTTTTATGAGACATATTGCAGAGGTGGTTTTGATGGCTACTGGTTAGCTATGCTTTGGTGATGTTTGGAGTGGTGGGTGCTTTGGTTGAAGAATCCTTTGTCGAAAAGTCAAAAGTATCATTAGATAGGGCTACACGTTCGATCGAGTCGAGTTAAGAAAAAAAAAATTAAGTTATTCGAGTTGATGAGTCCTATTTTATAACTCGAACTTGACTTAAATTTTTATCGAGTCGAATCAAGTTTTTGAGTTTCTATTTAAATTTAATTGTAAATATTCATAGTAATATGATATTATATGATTCCAATTTAAATGGTTTTTTTATACTCATTTACAATACATACATATTTCTTCATATTTTTTATATGTGATATACATATATCATACAGAGTCGAGGGACTCGACTCATACTTGAAAATCAATCCACTAATTACTAAAAAATTTGAACTACCATTCGAGGTTTTCAAGTTGTATTTTATAACTCCATTTGAACTTGAAATTTTTTAAGTAGTGTTTTTGAAATTACAACTCGAAGTCAATTCAAGTAGATTCAAAAAATAATTTTTTGACTCGAGTCAAGTTTTTGCTCACCCTAATGTTAGATATGATTTTGAAAGAAAAAAATAGTTGAGTGACTAAAAAGGAATTGCATGATTATATGAGTGACTAAATATGAGTTTACCATAAAAGTTAATGTATAACTATGACATTTAGCAAAATCTTTGAAATTCAATAAAATATTTTAATAAAATATTAAAGAAAGCCCGCAGCATGGACTAACCCAAATCAAGTCCTAAAACAAAATGAATCTGGCGAATAACACATCCAAGTTCATCTCTTATGCCCCATACCATCTCATTTATTTAAAATCTCATTCGTCTCTCTCCACTTCTGCCATTGAAAGAAGAGAGAAAAAACTAAAAACTCCTTTAAACATCACCGAAATCTTCCATTTCTCTGTTTCCTCAGAAGAAATGAAAGAGAAAAACAGATGGAAGAGCCTCCTTACCATGTCCTTCACAAGCTTCCTCTTGGGAACAACCCTTACGTTCGAGCCAAACATGTTCAGGAAATCTAAAGCCCAATCTGAAATGGGTCATTGTACGTGAATCGCTAAAAGCATTGCCTCGTCACCTCTCGCTGCCTCCGACGGCTGAATCACCGCCTCATGTAATCACCGCCGCCTTGGTGGTCGGAGGCTTTCTTCTAAACGCCTAGCCTCGCCTCGCGCCTCAAAGCGCCTCAGGCGTGCTTTTTAAAACACTGCACAACATTAGAGAAAATGTCTTAAATTTTATTTAATGAAATGAAAATTTTCACTGAAATCCTTCCATACAGATAAAGAACAAGAGGACAAAATTAGCATAAGATACAAACTGCCTCCAAAAGAAGAACAAGCAGTGAAAAATCAGTTGTTCACATTTAAGATGTGCATGTGTGCTGTATCAAAAGGGGGTATTCAATGATTTGGTTAACATTTACTGCATAACCTATGAATTTTTTAGTGTAACAAGCAGAAAATTCCTCTTCACCGGTAACCCTAAGCAGTGATTTTTTTTTCAATAGACAAGCTGTGAAATATAAGATACCTGCTGTTCAGTAAGTTCTTGGGCTCCATTACCATACTGCACCAGCCCATCTTTAATGAGCTTGAAAGCTTCATCACGAGATAGGAATGATGCAAAAAAGTACTGCCAAATCAAAAAGCCGAGTCATATAGAAGAATTAATGCATGGACACTTAACAATCACATACAAGAAAAATGAATGGCAAGTACTAGTACCCTCCTTCCTCCAGCAAAAATTTCTATTGCATTAGGAAAGATTCCGGCAGTCTTTGCTCTGTTAACACTTGTAATTTCATTGAAGGCAATTACTTTCTGCAGAAGGAACTCATAAGATATTCCAAGATCATATCATTGTTACATTAGCGTTAAAAGTGTTTCCAGGGAAATAAGAAGCTAGAAAACAAACCAAGGATAAAAACCAACTTCTGAGGAATACCTTTGTTTCAAATCCAAATATATTGGAATAAAAGCAAATGTAACGAACAAACAGATACATATGACCCTGCAGCAGAGTATAGAAATCATTTAAAGCATGCAACTTCAAGGAAGTAAAGATCATTGTAAAGATGTAGATTACCTGAAGAAGAATACTCTCCTGGAATGCACAGTTGAAATCCTGAACAAGGAACTGCAGCAGAGGACAAAAGAAGATGTTTAAAAACTACTTTTTTGATAGAATTCTAAAATGCAAGATGGTGAGAAATTTCAAATGAAAAGCAATTCAATTAGAAAGTATTTCCAAACCCTATCACCAAAGTAAACTTAAAAAGATTGGATATAACAGCCATGCTGTATGAATGTTTAGGTATTAAGCATTACTTGCATGCAATGTGTTATTGTTTCTGTCACACTGATCATGAGAGAGAATGCATGCACTTACAGAACAAAGACTTCAAACAAGAAGGAGACTATCAGAGATCTGCTGACCCAGGCTAATAATGAATAGACTAAAGACAAGAAATCTCTTATTTTGGGACTTCAAAAGAAACAGTGCTTCAAAAGAAGTTTAAAGATGGCACTGGATACCATTTAGACCTAAAGTAGAACAGAAAGCATGAACAAGCATTTAAAATGGAAAAAATGGCAGTATCTTTTCACACAATCTCAATAATCATTTTTCGTAATTACAAGCCAAAGAATGTCAAAAACAAAATACAGAGGAGAATTGCTAACAGCTCGTGATTGTGACTTATTAGAGACTCTCACCTCTTCAGGAGGAAGCCTAAACAGTTGGCGGTATTCTTCACTCCTCAATGCTGACTGTGACTGAAATTCAAAAGAATCAGCTTTAGCCATAGGGCTAGAAGTCTTCAATCCTCTAAAACTAAATTCTCAACATTATCTAATCAGTCCAAGTTCAACAGCATTGATCAGCCATCGTCTTTTCTATCTCTTATCGGATAAAATAGTTGCAAAACATATTTCTCAGTGGCTGGTTATCGAATTTGACCATAAGAACATAAGCGCTTAAATAGATTTCTTAAAAAAAGAAAGAAAGAAAGTTCAGTGTTAGCAACCTTCAAAGAAAAAAGTTCTGTGAAAGTAAATAGCACTAAATAATGGTGTAATTACTTTGGAAAGTGGGCATAATAATCAAGAATTATCAAAATTGAATTCAAAACATAATCCTAATCTACTTACTCGCCTTTTTCTCAGGACAATTGTAAAGGGGGAGAAGAAATGAATTAAGCTATTAGGGAGTGAAAGGAAAAGGAACCTGAATTTCAACATCTTTGTAGCTGGGATTGGGCGAAGAATTGGAAGGATCGTTGCGATCGGGAGTGTCGGTGGTAGACACATCGTTTGGCAGAGCTAAAGAATCAGAAACGTCGCCGGATGATGATTTAGAAAGCGAACTATCAATAGAAGACCTCGGAAGGTCGATCCTCGCTGCGTCAGCAGAGGTCACCGCCATAGCAGGGGAAGAGCCGATAAAGATGGCGGATATCTGAGTTTTCAGTGTTTTTTGAGGGGTAGTTGGGAAACTATGTCGTTTGACGAACAGGGAATGATTCTGAAAGATGAAGCCGACACAAGCTTGCAGTCTATTTCACTGCCACGCTAAGTCTTTCAAGGAGAGACGTTGAGTACTTCACATACTTCACACGCTGCGTATTACTTTGATGTGGCTAAAAACGACAACCGCACGGTTCTCCGGTGGACTCTTCCACGTGCCGGAGTAAAACATCCGGTCGGTCAAGTTCCTTTTTTATTGGGCAAACAATTCCCGTCTATTTTGGGCCTATTAAAACCAAATCTTTTGTAATATTGGCCCAATAATCTATGCTGGTAAAAATTTAATTCATTAAACCGTCTCCAAAATCAATTAATTTGAGATTTACGATAAGTGTTAAAGTTTTCCGGTACTAAAGTATAAACCCGTCACATTCACATAACGAATATGTAATACCGCATTAAGCTAAATAATTAGTCTGTCTACCATATTAGACCAAAATTACCTCGAGGTTTAGGTGATTATTTTTTATTTAAAGTGAATGTTACAGTACTTCATTAAATACACTAAAAAAATCAGGTGATTTCTGGAAGTCACCTAGAAAACACGACATTTTCAATCTCTTTTGGGAAGACAGTTCCACGGGCATGCATTAAACTTGAAGAAGACGTTATGTCTTCTGAGCGACTTCCAGAATACAAAGCCCCACCATGTTTATCACCTTCCTCGAGAGAAGCTTTCACCTGTACCGAATTTGAATCCTTAAAAAAAACCAAAAATAATACACAAAACACACAGGTGGAAGAAAGTTGCAATTGGAGTATTTATTCATCTGTCGACATTGCAACCTTCTCTCTTTTCATACAATAATCTGAGCATTTTCCTATACACACACTTGATGATCTGACAAAGCCACAAAAAGAACTCTCTAGTGTTTACACATTCAAGAAGAAGAAAAATAGAACTTGAAAATGATATATATATATATATAAGAGTCCACAGCTCTTGCAAATTTCAACTGACCTCAAAATTTCGATGTAATTCATCTATTTGATATGATAGGAGCGAGAGTAAACCGAATCAAGTGCTTCCGTAAATAATGCAGAAAAGCTGGTCAATGCTTGGAATACTCCTGGTAACCCTGTTTGAAGATTATTCAGTGTCATTGCTCTTGTAACCTCTACTGCTTTGGCATGCCTCAGCATTTGATCTTCCACCCGCCTTTGGGAGGCTGCAAGCTCCGATTTCTTTTCAGCCAGGGGATCCCGAGCATCTAGAACCTGCCCGTATTCGGGCCTGGATTCAGGAAGTCCAACACCGACCATGGAATATGACTGGTAGAACTTCCTTTCTATGTTGCGGAGAGATGACGCCTTTTTCTCGAGCTCCTTTGATGCCGTTTCGGTTTGCTTCTTTACCTTGAGCTCTTCCGATTGTTTAACGGATATGACATGGACAACGTTTATAAAACTTTTGATAGCTTCGGAAGCTACCGTGTCAGGAAGTCGGTCAAGAGCAAGCTTCCACTCGTCACAAAATGCGTATACATTAGAAGGCTCAGTGTTTCCAGTGGCATTGTCGTTACTGACGAGAAGAAGGGTGAGCTTGAACCAGCCATGGAGGGAGCAGATAAAATCTCGTTGAAATTTTATCAAACGACAGAAATTAGAGTGCCATGCAGAGACGGCTGACTCGAGATCACGTGTAGCCTGCCGATGCAGTTCGGAAGTTGAGTCACCTTTCCCTGATCTGTTTACGAGGCCACGGACTTGTTGCACGATATTGTTCTGAACTTCATGGTATTGGTTCATCGAAGCCCACATATACCTGAAGCTGCATATGTGTAAATTGACATTAATTTAGCACAGAAATTGTTTAACCATGACGAATTTCCATAATCAGAATTCAGAATAAGGTTTTCATCTAATATAAAAATCTAAAAAATTCAGGCCTACAAGGCAAACATGCTAAGGGCATGATCATGTGGCATAGCAGAGCAGTAAGTCATAATGATTCACCTACCTTGCACTTGCAGCATGCCAAAATCAATAATACAATTTCAATACCAACAATTCTCTTAATAAGAATTAATTTCCAAGGATGGAAAATGGGGCAAGTAAAATTCAAAGTGGTAACTCACCAACAATCTATAAATACTATAACTGTCGAGACTATGACTTAATGGTTTATGTGATGCATATAGTTGCATCGAATGATAAACAACACCTCAAAAGAATGCCCTGTCAATTTCAAGATAAAAACAGAGAGAAACAGACTACTTACGCATGACAAACGTCGACAAGCTGAGGAACGAGATCGCTGTCTCGAAGCCCGACAATGGCAGTAGAGGTGGTAGACACGGCCTGAGATGTAACGATGATTAGGGACTGCAACCTTGTTATGGAAGCTTTGGTCTTGTCTATCTTGGTTTCATCCTCCCCCTTGTATTCTTGACTTTGCAATGCTGACAACTTTTTCTCATGCTCAATCTTTACTTCTTCTCTAGCCTGAAATAGTGGAAAGAATTATTGCTCATATTAGCCACTCATCCGAAACAACATGGCTCCAACGTATACCACTGTAAAATGTCTGTAATGGCGTAAATTCATACTCGGAGGAACTCCAACCACCAGGAAAAAAGTTTATCAAATTACATTTGCACCACGTGTTTATTTTCTTATCCAATAGATAATAACATATGACAAGATTTTCAACGTCCAACCAATTCAAAAAACTAGCAGAAGTTTGGAAAGAAAAGAAATTTCATAATTATAACCCTTTTACCCTTAGCTTTTAATTTTAAGTTTAAAGGACAAAAACCCAACAGGAAAATGCGGAAAGAAAACAAAAATTTTGGGTTGGTAGGAAAGGAAGGAGAGGGAAAACAAAATGAGAGGGTGATAATTTTTCATTCTCTTTTGTAAAAACAAATCATCCCAATTTGAAAAGAAAAGAGGAGAGAAAATATGAGAGAGATGTGAGTTAATTCAAAATATGTATTTCTCGAGTTCAAGCACTAAGAATGTTAGAGGTGTGATCCTTCAATATCAAATGAATGGGAGTTATCTTTGATCAAATACTACGTCTTTATTTCAAATTTTCCATCTTTCCTTCAATTTTTCATCCTTTCAATTTCCTTTCCACACTGCAAAACAAAGGCTAAAGCTTAATTCATGGATCTCTTCTAGTGTATTTTAATCATTATGACTTTCTCATGCTACTACACTATTGCTTAAAAAAATCCAAATTATCAATGATATATAAGATATACACTCAACTATATCAAATGATGCTACTTTGCTGAATATAAATTTTGTCAAATTCATGTAAAATATATTTATAAAAAAATAAATCAATAACTGACCATTGATGGAGTGATTAAAAGTTAAATGTAAAAAAAATCATTAGTTTTGTGTTTAACTCTCAAATAGGGATTTTAATTATTTTAACTAAATATTATATAAAAATATAAAGAAAAATAGCATTGTCATAATAATATTTATTAAACTTTGAAATAAGAATATTTTATTTATATTTTAATATCGAATTGAATATAAGATTTAAATTAGTCAAAAGTTTAACAACTTTATTAGTATTATATAAATTCGTACATAATTAATGCATCAGAAATTACCTTAACCTCCTCGTACAGCTTCTTCTCCCAAGCCAAGAGCCGATCCAAAGTAGAACAGAGGCTCTTAGAACGGCCCGCTTCACTAAGCGCCGCGGAATCAAGCCGGTATTTCACCGCCAACGGAGGCTTTGAAGTCCAGCTTGAGTTCAAGTTACTTAATATACTACTCGAATGATACACCGTTTCTGTAAATTTTAACATATATTAATCGCAAAATAAGTTTAATTACTTTTTTGAACAGTTTGAATTTCTTTAGGTTAGAAACTTACTTTTCAATTGCCTGAAACTTTTATCAAGTTGTTCTTTACTGATCTCCAGCATCTCCGATACCTGATCTCCGGCGGTGGCGGCTTTGTCGAAATTCTCTTTGATCGCATCGACGATCTCTTTCAAATCCTTATGCCTAACCACCATCTTCATATCCATCATAGCACCCATTCTATAACTGGCCGACGATCCCGCGTCCTCCGACTTACTATCCATTTTATTACCAGCGGCGCCTCCATACATCTGCTGCGGTGGCTGGGCTGGAGGAGGAGTCTGATTATGAAGATTAGGCAACTTCTCCGACTCCCCTCTCATAGAGGACCTGAAATTCTCGATCTCGGATCTGGATGCCAAGTAATCGCTCTCCTCCGCCTCTCCATCTGATGAACTCGTTGTAGTGTAATTGTCGTGTTCGTGATCTCCCCATTCGCTACATTGAACTTCTTCTCTTCCGGCCTCCTCATTGAAATTACTCTTAGCGTGATCCGAATTGATGTTGTAACCATGATTCGGTTTTTGTGGATGGAAGAAATAGTCTTCTGATCTTTCCGTTTCGGTATCTTCATGGCTGCTGTTGTAATCTAAATGATGGTGATTGCGTTGGGGCAGTTGTTGCTTTCGTTGTTGAAGTTTCTGGTCGAAGATTTCGGAGTCCGGCGGGGAGGGAGGGTAAAAATTTTCCCAGTTCCAAACGGAAGAAGCTTGAGAAGGAGTGTTTGAGTAAGTGGAATTCGCTTGAAAAGCCGTGGGGAAAAAGTTGTTTGAAAAACCGGATTTCGAGCTTCGAGGTGAAGAAGAAGGACTCGACTCGGACAATATGTGCGGGAGTTTCGGCGGTAACTTACGTGGCCGGCGACGATTGGGTGCCGGATATGGGAGACTTGAAGCAGAGAGTATATGAGGGAGTTTGGAGCTAGCGATAGTGGGAGAAGGGGAAGGGGAAGGAGAGAACGGAGGAGGAGGAGGAGGGTGGAGAGAAGGGGAAGGGGATTGAGGGACACGTGGAGGGATAGGAATGGTGGGTGGCGTAGAAGGTTTAGCAGGGTGGATAACAACGGCAGGGGTTTCGTCGGAGACGGAAAGGGGTTCACCAGCTCCGAAAGAGGAGAGAGCAGAGCCGGTAACACGGAGAGAGCGGCAGTAATCAGCGTGAGCGGCGGCCAGGTGGTGTCGAGCGTTAACGGCTTCCTTCATAAAGCGGCGCCTCTCCTTGCACCGCCTTACAGTGTCTT